TGTGTGTGTGTGTGTGTGTGTGTGTGTGTGTGTGTGTGTGTGTGTGTGTGTGTGTGTGTGTGTGTGTGTGTGTTGCTGCTGCGTGTTTTGTCTTTATATGGCTCTCGGCTCTCTGCTGCCTCTGCTCAGCGGTTCAACAACACGGCGCTGAAAAACCTGAGCTGTGACTCCAGCTGATCCACGTGGTTACATCAGCTTCATGATTCTGACCAATCGAAACGACAGGAACAGAGCAGGTAACGAGACGGTGTGAGTAACCTCACCACACACACTCTGATAATCAGTCAATCTGCTTCATGCTGATGAATGAGTCACGGTGACTGTAGGTGATCTGTATGAGTGGATGGAGGAGGTGGAGGTGTTTGCAGGTCTGCAGGGATAATAACGCTAAAGCCGCTCGTGGGTTTAACAGCTGAACGCTTTCCCCAGCAGCAGCTCTGCAGGTGGTTTCATCCCTCTTGAAGACGACCTCTGACCTCTGTGGAGGTGCTGTGTGTTTGCAGGATTCCAGTAAGGATGGAGGAGCTCACTACACTGTGGTGTGAATGCTGCGGGTGTGGGTGCTCTGTGACGACGACTCTTCTGTTTTAAAGTAAAGACAGATTTGAAACCCAGACTCTATTTTCGGACTTTATGTCATTGCTACAGTTATGATGGACCATAAACTGGTGTTTGCTCACTGCAGCCTGTTCCTGTCATGAAGGTGAGCAGGTGGCAGCGTTCACGGTGTCCACATGTTTCAGGTGAGCTGATGAAACACTTCCTGTGAGTTCAGAGTGCACTTCTTCCTGCTTCACTCCAAACGTCTCAGATTCTCCCACACAAACATTTCTGTCCTGTGTGTGTTTGTTTTTCTCTCTCTGATCAGAAGGTCAGGTCAAAGGTCAGGATGGAGTATGTCCTCAGTTTCCTGTTGGACCATGATTGTGTTTCTGTGTGAGAGTCAGTGCTGCCCTCTGCTGGAGGACTTGGTCATCACACTCTGAGCCTCAGAGTGAAGCTGTTCCTCTGCCCTGCGTTACAACATCTATGCATCCACACAGGGTCATGGACCGACTCTTACACAGCACCTTTCTGCTCTCCCACAGTACTCAAAGCGGTCTATACAACACGCCACATTCACCCAGTCACACTCACTCATACACGCATGTCTTCTAAGATTGTTGTGCTTCCTTACTAACATTCATGCATTCATTCTCTGATGGATGCATCTGAGAGCAATTTGGGGTTAGTATCTTGTCCAAGGAAGGAGCCAGGGATTGAACCAGTAGTCTTCCGAACAGTAGATGGCCACCCCCCATCCATTCATCCACCCCCCCCATCCATTCATCCACCCCCCCATCCATCATGAAGCAGCTCTGAGGAGATGGTTTAAATAAAGGTTTCATTTCAGGTCCTTTAATCTATGTGAGGAGGAACTCACTGTGCACGAGGAGCGTCCACGCTGCAGAGTCCACCGTCAGCCCATCAGCGTTGGTCAGCTGACACCTGTACACGCCCTGGTCCACCCGTCTCACCCTCTCCACGGTGAGAGTGAGACGGGTGCCGTCTCGTCTCTGCCGCAGACCTGATCCCGTCCTCACGGGCCCCCCGTCCTTCAGCCAGGTGACCACGGCCCCGGCAGCAGAGGAGGACACTGTGAGGAAGAGGAGAGGCGGCTCACACTCACAGGATCTTAAAGTCACAGTAAAGCTGTGGAGGAGCTGAGACCTGAAATGAAACCTTTATTTAAATCATCATTAACCATCTGCTCAGAGCTGCCTCGTGTCAGTGATTCCACCTTCACAGTCTGAGGCGTTTCTCACCTTGGCAGGTGAATGTGACCTGAGCTCCCTCTGTGGCCTCCTGGTCCAGGGGGACGGCCTCGAACCGCAGGTTGGAACCCGCCTTGGACGTCCTCACCGGCCTGAAACACACAGGTGATCCTGAACACACCTGAAAGTGGACGTGACTTCACATTTAAATAAAAGTGAATTGATCCAAGTTCTGACCTGCTATCTGAGCCGGGTCCTGACTGCTGGACCGAGCAGGTCTGATCTGGATCAGGAGCGTCGATGGACCGGACCTGCAGGGGAGCCGGAGCTCTTTCACTTCATGTCATTCTCTTTCATTTATTCTGCCTTAGATAGCATGAGTTTCAGAAACATTATTATTAGTAGTAGTAAAATAACCTGATCAGGTGCAGTTCTCCTCTCAGCCAGCAGAGGGAGCTGTGCAGGTGGTTCCCTCCTCCAGGAGGCGGCCTGTCTGGGCTCTTGCTCCTCGGGCTGGGAGCTGGGAGCAGCTCTGCCCTCCTTCTGGCTCCTGGTTCTGGTCTGTGGGTCGTCAGTGGGCCGGCCGGTCCTGCGGGAGGAACCAGAGTGGATGATTCTGAACATGCCGTCCTCGTTACCGTGGTGACTGTCCCCGTGTGACAGCATGTTTTTATTTTAATTCTTTGCAGTCTGGAAATATTTGATTTACTGGTGGATTTATTTTTATGACGTCTCTTTTCGGTCAGACAGTAAGAAACCTCAGACGGATTATTTGCAGCAGGTTCTGAAAGGTGAAACCTGCCGGTTAGCGTCCCCACAGGAGTTCAGATTGATGAGGAATCTCCTCTGCTTCCTTCAGCTGCCTCTAACCTGCTGCTGTGAACACTCAAGCAGTTTTCCAGAACAAGTTTCCAGCTCGTGAAGCCAAAAGATCTCAAACTCAGCTGGAAAACTTTAGCAGCAGCAAAGGAAAGAGGAGCCACGTTTCCCAGGAGCTGACGAAGCTCTGAGAGGGACGCTGCTGTCCGTCCACCAGAGCTTCAGACAGGAAACAGCTCTGAGGGATTCTTACTGTTAACACATCCAGACATGACAGCACTCACCTGGACGAGTCGTCAGGAGCACCTGGAGAAGAGAGGGGAGGACACGTGAGAGAGAGAACGTCCACATCATCAGCATCCACACAGTCACACGCTCAGAGCGCCTCACCGCCACCAGCTGCTCAACATCAGGCTGTAAACATGTTTTAACGTGGGGCTGACTCACTGCTGCCTCTGCTGGACAGCAGAGGAACTGCAGCGTTTGGTTTGCAGTTTTAAATAATGACAAATGAGCGCGTGCAGCAGCTGAACGACTCTGATTGGCTGCCTCACCTTGGACGGTAAGCTCGGCACAGGCAGTCGCTGTTCCGGAACCGTTGCTGATCAAACACTTGTAACTTCCTGCATCCTGGACAATCACATCCTTTATCTCCAGGAAGTGAAGGCCTGAGCGCTCGTACATGCTGACCCGCCCACCAGACTGAAGCTCCGCCTCCCCCTGAGAGACAAACAGTAAATACTGAGTTAATCAGTAAAAGCGGACAAAGAATCTGTCCTCCAGCCGCCGCTGCGAGTGAGACTGAGATCCCACAGCTTCTCAGCTGTTCCTCTGCAGCTCTGATCTGAAGCTCCTCGTACCTTGTGCCAGGTGACCCTGGGCTGTGGGCGTCCTGTGGTTTTGGCGGAGAACTTGGCGCTCTGTCCCGGCTCGGCAAACACTCGGCTCGGTTTGTTGATGAACTTTGGGGGACTCTCACTCCAAATGCTCGGCCTGTTCTCCACAGCAGGAGCTGCAGAGCGACACCTGGAATCGTGAGAGATGGAGTTCTGGGATCAGCACTTAGCAGTTACTTCTTTATAAGCATGGAGTGCAACCCTGTGCAGCAGCGCCCCCTGCTGTTTGGATGCTGGTGTTTACACACTGCTGAAAAAATGAAAGGAGCACTTTTTAATCTGAGTTTGACATCAAGTCAGTGAACTTTGGGATACTGATCTGATTGGTTCAGAGGAGGTGTTAATCAGGTTCAGCTGCTTTGGTGTTAATGAAACTAACAACAAGGACACAGCCCCCAGAGCAGGAATGCTTTCACGGGTGGAGGACACTCACATGTTTCCTTCCTCTTCTCTTCTGACTGTTTTTCACTAGTTTTGCATTCGGCTGGTCTCCATGCTGGTAGCATGAGGTGAGGACTGGACCCTGCAGAGGCTGCTTAGGTAGCTCAACTCCTCCAGGATGATGCCTGAATGTGTGGGAGGCTTATTCATGGAGGGACACACAGCCCCCCACAGGCAGACATGGATAAGTGAGCACCGTTTTGACTGATTCCAATGAAATTTTAATTTAAACTCTTTGGGATGTTTGAATTCAGCCTCTGCACGTTGATCATTTTTAATTAAATGAATCGATGTGACTCCTCCACACGACCCGGTCCATATCAGTGCTGAAGTCCAGCACCAGGTTTTCCCATCGAGCCTGATGAGTTTTCAAAGTGTTCCTTTCATTTTTGTGAGCCGAGTTTTTTGTTTGGGAGGAAAACGTTCAGCCAAACTCAGAGCTGTGTGAAAGGAGTGAGACGTCGCGCTCACAGCTGTTTGCACGGCTCACCCTGCTTTCATGGACGGCGGCACGACGTATTTCTTCCCAGAATTCTCTGCAGGTGGAAAAACATCAGAGCATCAGATCGAGCTTTCGTTAAACCTTTAAAAAACGTTATGAGTGTTTTTATTTGAACCAACAAGGCAGCAAGCAGAAATAAAATGAGGGCATAACGAGTGTGGGTGTCACATGTCCACAGAGGAAAACCATACGAACACGTTTTCCTCACAGTGAGTGTTTCCTGTCAGAGCTGCTCACACTCTTACCTTCCAGAAGGATCTCCACGGTAACCTGACGGCTCCCCGCTTGATTGGTTGCCTGACAGGTGTAACTGCCCAGGTCCTCCTCTGTGACCCCTCTCACCAAAAGGCTGAAGTTGCCCCGCCCACCCCGTTCCACGATGTAGTGCTCTCCACCAATCATGGCCCTTCCCTCTCTGTACCATGTGACCTGTGGCTCAGGATGGCCGCGCACCTGAACGATTCAGACAATGGAGAAAAGCAATCAGCTGATTTCACACAGACTCATCCAGCAGACTCATCCAGCATAACGGAGGCTGTGTCCATCTTTTATATACAGTGTGTGTTTGGTTTGAGGTCAGCGCGACAGAAGCAGACAAGCAGACCGAATCTGCAGGACTCGAAGAGGACTAAGGACCTCACAGAACTAGGAAAGCAAGCGTGTGTGTGTGTGTGTGTGTGTGTGTGTGTGTGTGTGTGTGTTTTTATGTGTAGTATTGTGTGTCTGTGTGTGTGTGTCTGTGTGTCTCTCTGTGTGTGTCTCTGTGTGTCTGTGTCTCTGTGTGTGTTTCTCTGTGTCTCTGTGTGTGTCTGTGTGTGTGTCTCTGTGTCTCTGTGTGTCTCTCTGTGTGTGTCTCTGTGTGTCTGTGTCTCTGTGTGTGTTTCT